TTTAATTTGTAGGTTAAATATTTAGTTTATAAACTATGACATTTATAAATAAATGAATCATATGGTGAAAAACTGACTTTGAAAAATAAATCTGTTCTTTTTTCTTATAAAAGGCTAAATAAAACAAAAATATTGGTGGTAATTTTCAACTGTGTAACTTTACAAATGGCACACCGTACATGTATGACATGATAAGAAGAGCATGGGGTGTGTAAAACCAAAATGACCATGGCAACAGTCCCCTCAGCTGACAATGTAATTGGCTGGATTTTGAGCCTATTCACTTCTCGCCGCTCAGCCAGTGAATCTGGCATGTCTGCAGAACCGAGGGAGCAGCCGGCACAATGCTCCTGTGAAACACATGTTTACTCTCAATCTATGTAACTGTCTGCCACCGTAAAAAAAAAAAGGTATGCTCCTGAGGACGGTTTGTGAAAAAAGGTATGACAAGCCGCAATGTGTGTCAGTATGTGTGTGTGTGTGTGTGTGTGTGCTCAGACTAGTGAGTGGGAATGAGTGTTGAGTATTCCCTCCCCTGCGGGCCACACAGATGCCTGTTACACACCGTCATCATCTCCCATCTGTCCCTGCAGATGCCCCTGCTGGGAAAACTGGCAACTTCCCTACTCCCACTTTCTCCACTACTACTGCAGATACACAGTTTAGAAACACCAGCAAATAAAATGACTTGTGGGTCCCTTTCCTCGCTATATACAATGTTTATTGAGCACTAAAGCTGTATTTTGAGGAATAACTGTGAAACTTTGCTATCGTAGCACTTACAAAATTGGTTGGAGTGCCACCACGCAAAAAATATCAGACAGTAAATAAAGTTCAATATAATATAAAGTTGACAGGTTAAAGCGGTTGTACTACAATGCATCATATAGAATGAGTAAAAAAGAAGAAGATTTGCTTTCAAGTACACCTAAGGTCACGAAGAAACTGAAATAGCCAATCAGGATCCACTCATTGGTTTTGTGGTCTTTATCCTGTGTTTTTTTTTTTTCTTTAAAAAATACTGGAGTTTATTCGCTTTAATAAGGACTTCAGATGTTACCCTGCTCAGTTTTTTTTTTCTTTTTTAAGCTGACTCAATCATAACTAGCAAGACTCAAGATTCTTGGAAATGCTCCTGGTAAGTGGAGGTAAAAAGTAAATGGAATTCCATCCAAACAGATGTAAAAGATGTTTCTGTCCGTGCAGCACTTTGTCCTTCAGAGTAATGTTTATTCTCACATTAAAGGACCAGAGGAGACAGCAGTGTGTGTGACTTGGACAAATCTGACATGCATTCTGTTCTCATTAGCTAAAGCAGAGTATATGTACACAATGAGTGACACTGACCTGAGCCTGCGCGGATGTCCATATTAGCAGTGCATGACAAGCCAGAAGTTGGGGAAGGGGGGAGAGAAGAACAACGATATGATCATTAGTTTAGATTTTGCCTGTGGCGACAGAAATGTAAAGCTCTGCTTAAGTCTGATTTTAAAATCTACTGYATTCTGCTCAGAGTTTCATTAATGAGGGTACAGGATGATTAGGTGCTTCATCATCTGCACTGAGTCCTGAATATATTTGTCAAATAGAATGATTCATACTGCCGGGAGACGTTTCAAGTGCTGCAGTTAGTTGTAACAGCTGCGCTTAGGTCGGGCCTGCAGTCGAGGGCAGCTCGGAGAAACTAATTTGTCTGGAGATGGTGAGCGTGAATAAGCATATGCTCAAAAAGGCCATGTGCCCTTTGTCAAAACAAGGCTGGTGAAATTTAATTATAACATTAAAATTAGCAAAAAAAAAAATAATATGAACACTGATGTTTATTGTGGGGTCCAGGAGAAATTTGAAACACTGATTTTAAATGCAACATTTTGTACTTAAAATCTGTGAAACATAGTAAGATTTGCTGCCATAAAATCAGACTCTTTCATGATTTTAAGGGGGTTTTGAGTATTTTTGAGCTTTATGTTTTACTTCAGGTGCTCTAAATGTGTTTTATTTACTTTTTTAATGAATAATTTTCAGTTTTTGCACCTGATCATTCAGATAAACGTTTCCTGCTGGATGACGCTGACTATTTATCAATTATTCAGGAACAAAAACCAGTGTTGTCAAGACATTAACAGACAACTTATCACATAAAAAGTTTTAAATTTGGTCTTTTTGATCTTAATAGTAGCTTGAAACAGCTTTGCACAGTCCATCTTTACTGGACTCACATAATGAGAAATGCATGCCTGTGTTAACATAGTGAAGAATGGAAAGAAAAAGCAGCATAAAGCATCCAAATTATGCTTTTTTGTCACATTCTGCTAGAACATGTGTACATTACATCTAGACTTTGAAATATGCGTTTTTGGGGGTATGGAACTCTCTTCAAATATATATATA